AACAAAATTAATTAGTGAAGTTTCAGAGTATGTTAATAAAAAAATCACAGGGCTAAAGAAATGACTGGCAAAAATGTCTCAGGGTTTGTTTTGCTAGATCACTAGTATGTATAGACTCTTCACCAGCTCACTTGTAAGTGGGAGGTAATCTATCTGTCACAGAAGAGCAATTAGTGACTGGTCATTCACAGCTATTCACACATAAAAGCAAAAAGCACTTAGATAAATGGTCCATTTAATAATAGGGGAAAAAAAAATCTTCCATTACTAAAAACCAGTGATAGTGTGTGTGTGTAGGAAAGACATCACCAGCAGAAAAAGAGAATTCCAGGTTAAGTGCAAACCTAACAAAACTTACATTAAGTATAAAGATAAGGTCACAGAGGAAATGTGCAGAAAGAATGATAAAGCCACTATACTTGAAGAAAAGGACAAAAATGAAAGGTGGGACGAAGATTCACAACAAGAGAGCTAGTAACCTCTCCTCTCCATAAGGATAAAGACTTTTGTATTATATATTGAGTTAATTCTCTTTCAATAGTTATGGGATTTACTGTTTTACAAGATATTAAGGGATCTTTTATTGTACTTGTAAACAAACTTGACATTCAGATATTGCATGTCAATTGCTATCTTTTATGCTTCCTAGCCCACAGATCATCTATAAAATCACTATTTAGAACAACATACTTACAAAGGCTTGTCTACAAATAACAAAAGTTGTAAAGTATTATATCTTCCATACTTTTGATCAATTAATGGCTTTGTTTGTTGCTATGAATAATATGTACTTCCATTCTTAGTCTGTTTACGTAGGAATTTACAAATAAGAAACAAATCTTGAATCGAGTATGCCTCAATGGTTCTAATGAAATAGCCTTATAGTAACAATTTCAAACCTGACAAATAACACGAGTTGTAAAAGATTTAGAGTACATGCTCAGTAATATGTACATATATATATATATATGTAATTAATTAACAATTTTAATAAATACCAACAACTTTACAACTTCCTGCTTGAAGTTATCTTTGTAGGTGAAAATAATAATAAGTTTTTACACCAACTCTATCTACCATTACTATGTTATGTAAGTATAATATCTGATTCTTATCATGCTCATCCTCATAAGGTAAGTTTCAAATACAAAACAGGTCTGATACACACTAGTTTGTGTTTTACTGTTAATAAGTTTTGTAATATCTAAAGAAATAATTGCTATAAAGCTACTATTTTTAAAGAAATTCTGTAATGCAAGTAAAACAAAAATATTACAGAACATTAGACTTCAGTTACGTATAATACACAAAAAACATCATGTTATCTAGAGTAGGAAGTACACACGTGTTGTTTTCAGTACGTTGGCCTCTTACTTATATAAAAATTACCATAAATGTATTAATTTAACTATATCATCTCACAACTTGAACAGAGAGATTTTATAAAATAGTCCATATTGCATAAGAGTAAAAAGTATACCCAACTGTTTCTATTTATTAAATGGTCTCTTTCTGTACTACCAAACATTTATTTATTCAATATCAATATCTCACAATTTAAACACAGATTTGATAATTTGAAGAAATAGAGAGATTCAGGAATTAAAAAAATTTGCATTTATTTACCTTTGTTAAACAATATGCTCTATACTTACTGATATTTTTTCATTCAGTTCTGAGCCATAATCTTATAAAAAAAAAACGTTTTTTTTTCTCTCCACATAAAAAGATAATGCTGTAATTATTTTGAAAACATTTAAGAATGATTAGAATTTCTTTGTTCTTTTCAACAAGACTAGAACTTTTAATAAACCTATCAATTATTTATGTGATGGCTGACCCAATCCAATGATGCAAGCATCTACATGCTCTGTTGTAGATTCCACAAAGTGAGGGCCATTTTGTGTCTAATGTGAATATGTCGAATGAAGTCCGGTAGCAAAGAAAATACAGGATATAATATTTCACAATAGTATTATGTAATGTTTCTGGAAAAATGAAACATTTCATTACATAGCATAAATTAAATGAACTTTAGAGTTGTATGAAATAGCAGTAATTATTTAATTGTAATCCACGTTATTTCACAGTTCACAATTTGAACATCATTAACAATATTCAACGAGGTTTCTGATTACCATGTATTTTCTTTAGAATGTCAATCTACATGCAACATGCGAGACTAATAAATATTAAGTAATATTATGCATACTCTTCTTCACTGAACAATCATGTTATTATTTGTTATGAAATACACAGAACTAACTATATAATTTTACGCTAGATCTTATAAGATGTCAAAGAAATGTTCACATTTTGTATATGATTTTGAAAACAACAAAATGACAGTACAGTGAACAATTTTTTTTTCTTTTGCAAATAACAGTTGAACAATTTTATGAGGATCAGAGTGGGGTGATTAGTGGAACTTGATAATTGTCAGACTTAATAACTGATTGTTATCACATGAGACTTGAATAGTTGTAATAACTGATAATCGTAATAAAAGGTATCTCTACTTTCAATTAGTTGGTTAATTTTGTGACATTATTCACTTTAAGTAAATGATTATATTTCATGACACTAATCAATCATATTGATTTATTGACTTAACTGCCCAGCTCTAATGTGGATGCTATGATAAATGCAATGTAAAGTATAACAGGACTTTATAAATAAATCAGAGATTTTTAATGGGCACAGTATTCAATCATTCTTTAATCCCTAACTCATTATTACTAACCTATTCTTGCCCGACAGCACCATACGACACAAGGTTTTTCCAAATATTTCTAGTTACAGCAATTAAGTATTCAAGCTAAGAAAAGTTAGTTCAATTGTATGTGAACAGGTTAAATGATTGAAGTGTTCATGTCTTAAATCATTGTTTTTTCAAGATTATTTTCACCACATATAAGAAAAAGTTGATAATATAATCTTTCATACTTAATGCAAAAAAAGTATAGTTCAGTAATAATTTACTTAAGTGTTTGGTTACGTTAGTGCCAACTTTCAAAAACCTCACATTTTCTTCTCATTCTATTTACTGCTGACCAAATTCAGATGTTGTTGTTTTGCTTAGAGCAAAGCTACACAATGAGCTGCTTGCACTCTGTCCACTGGAAGGAATCAAACTCCGGATCTTAGCATTATATGTCCATAAATTTATCACTGACCCACCAGGGAACAATCCAGGTGTCATGAAAAGTTATGTTTTTGCTTTTTATGTTTCTGGAGAGTATCAAGACGCCTGAAACCTTTGCCACAACTATTACAGACAAGAAAAGGAGTATCTGTATGCTTGAAACGATGATGTCTGCTAAGCGCTGGTTGAAGAGTAAAACAGATAAAACATATTTCACATTGATATTTCTTTTCTGTGAAGAGAAAATAATCAGTTATCAAAAATAAGACTGTTAACAGAACTCAAATGAACTAATATTAAATCCTTAAATAACATCCATATATTTTCAAACGTATAAGAACAAAAAATACATAATTATAGTAATCACATTTTTAAATTATTAATAATGACGAAGCTGAAGTAGATCTGTAATTATTTTATAATTTTAATGCATAAAGGTATTACAATAAACATCTATTTAAAAGGACTACAAAGAAATATTATCCAAGTCATTACACTTCATAAAAAACAAGTACACGGAGTGTTATATTTTCAGCTTGTCTTTTTAAGAGCAAACCACAGTTCAGAAAATTTTTCCCTTAAATATTAATTTATTAAGACATTTAAGAAGACGAGAAAAAATGAAAATATAGAATACGTAAATCTAGAGATTTGGTTTGTTTTAGAGCAAAAGCCGTATCAGGCTATCTGCTATGTCCACTGCAGGGAACTGAGCCACGGATTTTAGCATTGTAAATCAGCAAACTTACCACTGTCCCATCAGGGGACTAAATCTGGAGTAACAAAGAAAACAAACACCATCAATACATTACAGATATATATAACAGTTATCACGTATCAATTAAAAAATGTTGTGTGTATATGATAGAAGTTAATGTTTTCAACAAAGGCGTATGTATACAAACACTTTTATTCAACTCAATTTCACTTACTTTTCATTCTTGGTAAATGGTAATTTTTTAATTACTTGTTTTGAAAAATTGTCGTCACCTTATAGTCTTCTAATCTCAGCTATAAATTCTGAGATATTAATGAAGTAAAATACCAAGGTTGTTATCGATAGTGGATCAGAGTGTCTATGAATAATTCTGATTTACTTAGTGTTTATATGAAGTAAACACTGCCAGTAGACAATAATCATATCTTTAAGTGAAGTCGCATTAAATTTTCTCATTTTTACAAAGGTGTATAAGATAACTTTTTAAAAATCAGATGAGTAGAAAAGAAATGAAACGTACTTTTATTTAAAATTTTTTTAAGCAAGCTGTCAAATGGCAAGTTGCCGAATTTCAGTGCAACGAGTTAACGACCATTAAAATATGTATGTTTGTCAAAATGAAAAACCTAGCAAACAGTCTGTAGCTTAAACACAGATCAAAGAACATTTACTCCCCTATATTTATTCAAAGTGGTTAATGTATTAAGGCCCAAATGTTAAGGATTGTTTTTATGAGTTAGGTACAAGAGTGCTTAAATAAAAAAGTTAAAAGTCTATTTTATTTGACAAATATAAATATTAAAGGTGTGGCGATACAGGGATACGATATGAGTATCGTATCCTGAAGCCGTGATTTGATTGTATCAATACATTATCTGATATCATTTATGTATCTTCACAAAATTTGACAAGGTTTCAGTAAACATTATAAATTATAAGCCTTTTGTACAGAAAAAAATCAGAATTTATAATAAAGTATTTTTGCTACAAATTAATGATTCAATAAAGGAAGATGAGTATTGAGTACTACATGTTGTCTTCATTTATTTTATCAAAAACATTACATAAAGTAACATAACAAATTAACAATAACAAAATAGAGAGAGAGAGATATATTAACTATTTACTTCTCTTGCCAGCTACCATTTAGTTGATCAAACCTGAAAACCTGAAAAAGTGAAGTACTTTAATAAGACAATGTTAGTAATATAGATAATAAATTACAGACAAGACTGCTAAACTTTGTAACAAACCGTTGGTAAAACTTCCGTATCTAGATACGTATCGTATCGCAGCATCAATATCTAGATACGTATCATATGATGAGATATGCACCCCTGATAAATATGTGTTCAATTTAAAGGAAATGTATCTATACAAGTAAGTGTAATAAAAATATGGAAAACAATACCTAACACTAGCTGTCCCCAGTTAACATCAGAAATCTAATGGCCTAAAACAAATTTGGTAGTTACTTTGCTTAAGAAACAATGAATCAATAATAGTTACAAGTAATGTCTCAGAAACAATGTAACATAACCAAAAGCTAACAATAAATTTAGTAAATTCAAAACATCAATAGAATTTCAAGGTAATACTTGCTTTGTTTCTGAAGTCATCGTACTTGAATTATTATTAATACATATGTTCTTTGGAAATGTACGTGTTATTGTAATTCATAAATAAATTATATATAAACTCTAAAAGAAAAAAAATACAAGTTCTTTGCAAAAAATTAACCAATTTAATAAGTTAATATGTACAAGGTACATCATCCTGGCACGTTCAACCAGTTTAACAATTAAGTATTTAAGCTTTCATGACAAATCAGTGCTTTCATAGACAGTAATAAACCCTAAAGAACATGGGAATACAATTAATCTGTATCAACAAAGAAGATTTCAAAATCAATTTATCATAAATCATTAAATAAACTCGCATAAAAACAATTAAAGGAACATTAGAACTTGTAATATTATAGCTACAATGATGGAAAAACAACTGCTACAAAACATGTTAATCCATCTCAGTTCATTGTTATGAAAGTTACTCATCTGATGTGATCTGAAATGAAATTATTGATAAATTGACCTATACTACAGGGTGTCCAAAAAGTCTGGAATCATAGATGATTTGCAGCTTGAAAGTCCAAGCTTAGTTGAATGACACCTTCTCAGGAGAAAGGATTAAAAGACATGGCCCCTAGGAATGGGCCCCAAGATTTGCAGGCTTGACTCCCATAGATTTTTCTAGGGACAGCTCAAGGCACGTGTGTATAAAGAGAAGATCGGGGACACAAAGCATCTGAAACAATGAATTGGAGATGTATACTGGACCATTGCCAATGATACAAGTATGTCTTGCAGCATCCAAAAAGAATGGAAATACCGTCTCCAAACTTGTCTCGAATTACAAGGACAGCACGTGGAACACCCCAGACACTAATAACACCCTGAAAATATTTATTTTGCAAGAACTGTCAAGAATAACTCGGGACTTTATCAACACTGATTTTATGCATGCAACAACAGTGCCAAGGTTTCCTTGTCATTCATGGTGATCAGGCTTCATACTGACATGAAACATAAATATGTAAATTCACATCTACCTAATTGTCATTTACAAGCATAGACTGAATGGCCAAATACTTGCATTTCAAATCACATAACTGATCATCAGATACTGGATTTGCATAAAAATAAATTGAAGAGAGATATTTATTTCATAACAGTGGATTTTTGACTGGTCATAACAATAACATTATGAATTCTGATGATCTATTAATTGTTTTGAACAGTGTGCTTAAATTTATAGAAAGATGTACAACTACATATATATGTATTTCATTTCCTACATATTTCCACACTAACACTGAAGAAACAGGTCATCCTAACTTTTTCTCAATAATTACAATGGTTTAAAACCACACAGATAACTTAAGAAAAACATTAAAGCACTTTTTAATTGGTTGTATTTAAAGAATTTACACTTAAATGAAAATATTCAATGATTCATCCTCTTTTAAAAACCAATAATAATGTTTTCTTATCATCTCAACTCTCTTTAAAACATTACCGTAATTCTATATAACACCAATATATTTCATGAAGATGTTTAGGTTATCTTCTATTTTTCTTGCTCTTTCTCTTCCTGTTTTACTTAGTCTATTTAAATATGAATTATATGTTTGCTTATTTTATTAACAATTTATGTAAACTTATACATCAAGGAATTTCTCACAAAGCATTCCAGGTGGTGATTATGTAATTCAATATTACTATCAAAATGAGCACTACATATCTCACAAGTAAATTCTTTTCGGAATGGTTTCTTTTTACAAGAGTGTCGCTGATGTCGATAGAGATGAGTTTTCCTTGTAATTACGATACCGCACCAGCAACACTGAAAGTGTCCATTAGGTAATACTACAAACCTTTGTCCTTTTATTCCTAAAATGTGAAAACAAAAATTAAAAATGTTGTAATAAAACTACACGAGAAAATATGATGTATAAACAAGCCATGAATAATATATAAAGATAAATGTACAATAAAACTTTATTAATGTTAACTTAAAAGTAGTATGAGAAATCACTAAAAATTAAAGTTTCCAACAACAAATAATTAAAAACACCACCACCAAAAGAAAAAAAAATACATTTTTGCAAACTTGAAAGTTTATTTTCTCATACAAGTACACTGTACGCACATTTAGAAAATCTGCAACGATAAAAGTTTTGAGTTACTCATGAGAGTTTAATGACCTAGTCAAGAAAGCAAGATAAACAACTGGAGCTTTTTTATTGATAAACAAATACAACACAAAGAAAACATCTTTTAACGCTGCTTTTCAGATAATTAACGACAGATTAATAATAATTACGGATTCTTACTGATAAGCAATTCTAGAAAAATGGGAAGTAAAACTAACACTAAGTGCTTCTTTACGGGTGACTGTATAATGAAGGCTACATAAAAAAATACAATTTTATGTATGTGTATATATCAATTCAAATAATCCACACACTCAAGTAACTTTAGCATCAAATAGAAATGTTCTTATACCTAAAGTATGAAATCCATATGTGGTTCTTTTTATAATGGCTCTAGTTTCATCAACTACTGATGGAATACAACACAATGACCATCTGAATCACAGATGGCCAACTGGCAGGCCCTGCAGGCTGGATCAGGCCTATACGGAGTACTTAATGTGACACATTTGTTTAATCATATTTTACTTTGGGCAAACTGGCAAAACATAAAGAAAAAATGAAACTATGAACAAGCAAATGAGTCCCATGACAGTTCTGAGAACTTTCTTCAAATGTTAATTCAACTAGTTATTCAGAACCATATAATTAACTGAGCAGACAGTAGAAGTTAAAATTTAAACTAAAGAAATATTCTGAACATACATTACCTGGTCATACAGTTTTGGTCTAGGTAAGAAACTGGCCCAAGTGTATAAAGAAGTTGGCCATCCTCAATCTAAAAAGTAATTATTTTTATCAACCTACTGAATTAAATATATTCCCCAAATTTCAGTGCGGCATACTTCAAAATTTTGGAAAGTTAAATATAATTTAATTATCAAGTTACAAATTTAAAACATTCCTATAAAAAAAATTATGGATGACAAACGTCTGGGTTTATGAGGCAGACAAGGATTAAGTTAATAAGTCTGAAACAAGCTTCAGCACACAGATCGACATGTTGTCCAACTAATGGATGGCAAAAACAATCCATAGGAAAGTCAAACATATCTATACTGATTCAAAATCCTTACCTTTTAAACCTTAATACCACCCCAAATATTTTCTGTTGTTATAAATGTGTTTATTTTTAATTAAACATGTAGTAGTTATTTATATCTATCTATCTATATATATAAATACCTTTGTGCTAACACTGCCAACTAAATTAATTGTTCTACTATAACAGTGACAATGACACTGAGGATTTAAATTATTATACATACAAAAATATCTAAAAACAACTGTGACAGTAATGAAAAACAATTTTTTTTTCTTCAATGTGGGAAACCTACAATTTCAACAGAACCAAATTCAGAATATTTAAAAACATATTTAAATCTCCCGTACTCTTTAAAATCCTTCGTATTTTATTTACTTTTTCAAATATTAATAAATCACCCAAATTAGGGTGGTTTCATCTAGAAATTTCTATCAATATTAATCTTTCAATCACTGATTAGTGAAAGTTATACATTAAAGAAGTCCTCATAAAACACACTGGTTGATGATTTTTCAATTGCATATCATCCTGGCAACAAGCACCACATGAGTCACACATAAAGTCTTTTCTGGTAGGCTTATTCTTACAGTAGTGTCGCTGATGGCGATAGAGATGATTTTTCCTTGTAATCACAATGTTACACCAAGAACACTGAAAATGGCCATTTGTTAGTACCACAAATCTTTTCTTTCTCCCTAAAATGAAAAATAACACAAAAATAAAGAATAAAACTACCATAAGAAATATTTCAACACATAACAAATCTTTATCCAAATATTCACCTGCACAAGTTCTTTATAATATTACATAATTTTATAATATATTCTTGTAACGTTTAAGTATATTGGGATACATGACTACAAAACTTTTGACTATTTCTAGCTACAACTTGTGTTCTAGTGCTTGACAGTGAACCTAAAAATTGTTTTTCAAAATATACTACTATGACTGAATACGTTCAAAATTCACATAATTTGTGAAAGATAGAATACAAAAATGAAGGTTTCCACTGTTTTTTTTAACTTATTCCTTTAAAAGTGTTACTTTCCAACAAGTGTAAAAAATTTTGCAAACTTAGATGGTAAAAGTATCTTTAAAACACTTCACATTATGTTCGGTTTACTTCTTAGAACTAGACATAATTACAAAAGCCGCATTTCAAGGAAACTTCAAATGCTGCTCCAGTAATAAATACAAACTATCCACGTGTTTCTCTACTATTTCCTTTTAAATAAACTCATATCTCCTCTCAACAACTGAGTGATAAATACAACATCTTTATTGATAAGCAAATACAGTATGGTAAAAACAAACAAAAGCATGTTTCCTTTTACAGGAAACTTTAAAGCTTGTATAACAAAATTATATTTCAAACCCTAGTAACAAAAGAACAGCATTTCAGTCTAACTGAAATAGATATATTCTGAAACTATAACATAAAATTCACATATGGTGCAATGTTCTTCAGGATACAATGCTGTATTAACAATCACAGAAATACATAGAATGTCTTGTAATAAGTTACTGTTTACTGGACTAATGAACTACTAAACTTTACTGTGGTAATTGTCAGAATATTAAAATATGGGGTCCTATAAGAAAGATCACATCAAATGTGCTTCGAAATTGTGCTGTTCTTCTTCACTTATACATCCTGCGTTTTATTAATACTTAAAAAAATAACATATTAAACTTTTAGTACTGCATGTAGCACAAAATCATTGTTAATGGAAAAAAAGCATTATTAGTAGGGTCGTTAGTTATTAGCTTAGGAAATGTGTCATTTATTTTTAAAGAGTAAGCAAAAGTATTTTGATATATACATATAAAATGGAATGTTCATCTATTTGATAAGATTGGTTTTCTTCCTCTTCTGCCTTTAGCAGGAAATACCCCATGCTGCAGCGACAGATGTCTTTTGAGATTATCTGACCTTTGGAATGGTTTGCCACAGAAGGAACAGTTCACAAACTGCACAGGGCCATGCTGAAATTTCATGTGTCGTTGTAGACCCGAAGAGAAGTTAAATCCAGCTGAACACAGCAGGCACATGTAGTTCTTTTCTATAAACAAGTATTGAATCATCCAATCAGCTTGGGAAACTTATAAAGGTACTGTAGGCATAGAGTAGAATTTTGAAAATGACGGGTTGTTCACACTTTCATAAAAACAGAAGAGAGTTACGGGAGTTGCTGATGAGTGTAAGGCAACATTTTGTCAAAAGTACATCAGTTTCTTTGGTTAAAAGAGAGGAAGTTAAATCGTTATAGCAAAGTGTATTTATATGGTAACTTATGAGCCTTTTTTTTTAAATTAACTTTATATTTGTATAAATAAATGTATCATTATACAAAGGTATTTACTCATGTCAGCACATATATTAAGCACAAATTGTGTTTATATGTATACAAATATATATATATATGTATTCCTTGTTACAAAAAAACCCTATTAAATGTTTAACAACAACAACAAAAAAAGATTACATGTTTATGCCTCAAAATAAACAATGGGTTATTTGTGTAAGAAACCTGCAGTTTCCTTTATTCATAACAAATTCCAAAACTTTTGGAAAAACAAACAAACCTGTTTTACTTGTGTTCACCAAGCATAAGACTTTCACATCCTCGAACCACAGAAATTATATCTCATGAATAAACTTTTCACCACATTTAATTACTAAAGTCCAAAAGAATAACCTTAAAGTTTACACTTTCAAAGGTAGTATCTCTTGAAATCCTGAATGAGATACCGATTATATCAATATATATAATCTATTTGATATCTGAATTTTAAAATCATGGTGTAGTGATTCAAGGTATGATCTTCCTTCCAACTAATTTCATTTATATAGTTTTCTCTGCTAACCTTCATTACAACTATGCCATATGTTTAATCCACTACATTACTGTCATGATGAGCATGAACAATTCTTAAATGATATTAGAATATTTTATGTTAATGTGTAAGAGAGTTTGCTTTGTTTCTTTAGAGTAAAGCTACACTGAGTTATCTGCTGTGTCCACCTTGGGGAATCAAACCCCAGATTTTAGTCACTGTAAGTCCAAAAACTTATCACTGTCCCATCAGAGGATGTAAAAAGAAGAGTCAGTATATACACACACACACACACATATACATATATAGAAAAGAGCATGAGCAATGAGTGCTTTTACCTGTTATCATATCAGTTTCAATACATTTTAGTGGTAGAAAATATCTCAACAGAAAATCATATATTTAATTAGAAAGCTTTTGTTTTACAAGGTTTTCTCAGGAAATGTTAGGATGTGACCTTTCAGGTTATCCTTATAACAAGTTTAATCACAGAAGTAGTAGGAAGTGGATGGAGTTACTCATAAAAAAAAACAACATTCAAAGTGGCTGGTATAATCTAAGTAGAAAATACACCCAGCATGCTGTTCCTGAACTAGAATACCTTTCTTACGTGAATAAAAGCAAATTGTATAAATGTTTTATTAAACAGACACCATCATCAGAGTAATAGAAAAATATTTTAGAAAACCCTCGATTTAAAAAAAATCAACCAACTCTAACAGCCACAGAAACATACCTCCAATTTAAAATAACCAATTTTTGCTCCAAAGTTTATTTAAAGATATTAAATATATTAGATTTTCTTTGTCTCGTTACCTTTTCTTTTCAACTACTATTTGATATATTTTCTTTCTATATGTCAGAACTGCTGTATCTGCATACAATCGACAGCAATAATTAACTTTCTAAAATATTTTTCAATATTCTAAAAATAATTCTTGCACTTCCAGGTATTCGATGAAATCACTCAGAAAAAGATGCTTTCTTTGGAAGAAGATGAAAGATCAGAACTTAAGATTAGTGATATTAACGATTATAAATACACAACCATGAAAAACATTACAAACATGCACTACAGATGCTTAAATTTTTCTGTATTTTGTCATAAGACTGGAATTACAAGCAGCTTTACAAGTTCTCCCTTACAGTTTAGATGCATTAACTACTGTCTTATTACACTGTATGTAACTGTGTTAGTCAATTTCACTGTAGTAGCTATAGGCATACTACATATATATAGGGGGTGGTCGAAAATAATATTTCCCATTTTAAAATTTAATAATTAAATAACTAAAAAGATACAACCATGCAGTTTTCAACATCTTGTAACTAAAGAAATACAACCATGCAGTTTTCAACAGCTTGTAACTAAAGAAATACAACCATGCAGTTTTCACCATCTTGTAACTAAAGAAATAGAACCAAGCAGTTTTCAACATCTTGTAACTAAAGAAATAGAACCAAGCAGTTTTCAACATCTTGTAACTAAAGAAATACAACCATGCAGTTTTCAACATCTTATAACTTAAGAAATACAACCATGCAGTTTTCAACATCTTGTAACTAAAGAAATACAACCATGCAGTTTTCAACATCTTATAACTAAAGAAATACAACCATGCAGTTTTCAACATCTTGTAACTAAAGAAATACAACCATGCAGTTTTCAACATCTTGTAGGCTAATGAAAATGTTTTTTATTGTCATGTTGTTTTTTCATTCCAGTGAGTAGTATTACCCCGTAAAATGGCAACCATGCAATGGATTGGGTCAAGGTGAGCCAATACCCTGGCCTCCGCATTCATCAAACATCACTCCACTAGACTTCTTTCTTTGGTGGTATGTTTGTTAAGGACATAGCGCAAGAATGGGGAACCTGCTGTCCCAAGTTTTTTTTTACCCGACCAATATATATATGTAAATATATATATATATCTCTGAAGGCATAGAGATTGTATATGTCTATAATTAATTAATTATATAATATAATAATTATATATAAAATACTTATAATGCATAAAATTAACAATAATAACAGTAATTTTGCTGCTCAAAATTTCCATGGGCATGCAAAATAATTTTTCCGAAAATTATTGACAATTTGGGCACACGATCTCAAAAAGGTTCACCAGCCCTAACATAGTGTATCTCACAGAGCTAAAGATCAGGATAATGGATGCCATCGCCACTGTAACTGTGGACATGTTGCAGCGAATGTGGACTGAAATTGAGTATTGGTTAGATGTGCCGAGAGCCACTAATGGTGTACACATAGAAGTCTACTGACATGTCAGTAAAAAACTGTTTAAGTTGGGCTACAAGATGTTGAAAACTAGTTAATTAAATTTTAAAATAAAAAAGATAATTTTGGACCCCTGTATATATACATATTATATGTTCATCCCATAAACTTTAACAAAGTATACTGTATCGAAGAGAGTTATTTGGAGCTAAAATAAAAAGTTTATAAATGCTAATACAACAGTTGATCACACCTTTGTAATATCACTTTCGAATAGTTCACTGTTTTTCTTCAGAACTATTCGAAAGCACTCAAGTTTTGGGTCTCGTTTGAAAACCATTACAACTTTTCCATGCGATCCTGTGTGCTAACTTCTTAATCAGAATTTGTAATATCACCGTTAAAAAATCTGAGAAAAGTTAACAAAAATGTGATTCCTGTAATTTTCCTAAATTTATATGGAGAAACAAAACTTGTAACTTCCACTCTTAATTTTCCTCAAATACAGGGTGAGTCAAAATTATTTATAAACACTTTAAATAACCATATTTTATAGACAACAGAATCAATTTGAATGAAATGTTGTACATTTTTCAGCTAAAATATGCTTTTAACTCTACAGAAAAATGTTAACCTGCAAGGGATTAGTGTGTGGATGGGACTCGCCTCTCGTGGGATAATCGGACCTTACAGATTCAATGATACTGTTACCGCACAGTTATCTTGAACTGTTAATGAATGATGCAGTTCCCACAATAAGAAACACGTTTCCATTTATACTGGCGTACTTTCAACAGGGTGGTACACCTCCACATTTTCAATCTTATGCCCGTGCCTATCAAGATATTGAATTTCCCGAACGGTGGAATGGTCGCAGGGGGGAATGCTTTTGAATCCCCCCCACACACACCCAAGGTCATAAATTACAAATTTTGCAGGATTTGTGGGTGATGATACGACAGGAAGCAGGCAAAATTACAGCTGATTGACATATGCACCACCATACGTCGGGCTGTCGAGAAACGATGTCGTTCATATATGATTTGGTGGCAGACATTTTGAACATCTGACGTACCTTCTGTAATGTATTACATTTCTATGTATCTAATGTATTTGAAACATTTTTTGGTTCATGTTTACTTAATAAACTTTCTGCGATACAACATATCAAATTGTTTATACATAATTTTGACTCCCCCTGTATGTTTAATAATGTTACAATTCTCACCACATAATCTAGTTAAATTAAATACATCAGCAGAGAAATTATTCACACCCACCTGAGATAGGTTGAGTTACTATAAAATATCTAACTAAGAACTGCTAGAGGATTAATTAACCCTTTAATGCAGTTAACAGGATTCTTGCCTGGCATGCATGAGAGAACAGGTTCAATTGGGCTCATGCAAAATGCCACCAAATATGAAGCAAAGTTCTCGGAACAAGATTATATCACTTGGCTTTTCTGATTTCTTTTGTAAAACAATCCAAATAGTCACAAAAACCAGATTTAGGTCATTCTGATTTGTATATTTTATTTTAAATATAAAACTTTTATCCTTGTGCAACATAACTGTCTTTTTTGAACTTAATTTATACATTCATAGCTAAATATTCATGGGAAATTAAAACCCAACAACAAGATACAATGGTTTTAGAATACACATGCTGTAAAAAGTGCACCTATAAATACGGAGAATGTATTTTATTTCATGGTACTTTGAAGATCAAACAGTAATTCATTTCAGTCCCCTATGAGGAAAATTATGTTATTAAAAAAAAAGTATGAAAGATTTCTCAATCAGTAAGTCAAGAAAATGCTCCACAAGACATCCTAAAATATGGTTATACTTCTAGTAAATGTTTACTAAATTAGTCCTAACACATGCCATGCGTGTCACAAGTGAAACAATCGTAAACTATAACATATATGTTTAAATGCTAATATGATTGACCTAAGAAACATTTTTCCATGATAGTTTCTTCAATAATATAATTATTATCAACACCTTATTTACCCACCATAGTTAAAAGATAGTTTAAAAGTAACTTTTTCTTTTTTTCAATCAAATTCGTACATGATGATACGCGTTTCTTCACTAACTATTTCTGATACATTATGTTAAAAGGCTTTATCTTTCATTTCAACTCTTCTCTTGACCTTGACTTGTGCCAAAACATAAGAGTGTAATGTAATTAAATCTTATTTCAGATAATAATAGTGTAAGATACTTATTTGTGACAAACAAATAATGAAAATAAAAACACCCCAAATAATTTTTTTTATTCTTTAATGGATCATTTGACAGCAGATGTTTTATAAAATTAAGCCCTGTCAAAAGTAGCTTCGGTGATTCCATGCTGGTATTTTTTATGTGACAAGAGATTATCAGGTCGCTGAAACCCTCTGCCACAGATAGGACAGATCTGGATGACTGCTGTGCCATGTTTAAATTTCTTGTGACGACTCAATCCAGAAGAAAAGGCAAACACTGCATGGCAAGTGTTGCATCTGAATCTTCCTCCTAAAGCCCAACAAAATCATAATCTTATTATTTTCCAAATTCACAACAATTACTTGATGAAAAATAACTACATCTACTGTTTTTCCTCTTTAAATTTACTTTCAAATTTGTAGTACTTTAAATGTATTTATTCAGCTGTAAGGAAAAACAACAACATACAAACTAACTTGCACACAGAAACTATATGTTCTAGAACAATGATAAAATTATAGCAACATTTGCAAATAAGTCTTCCAAGTACAACAATTAGTTTGGGGTTCTTCATAAAAATAAAACACTTAGCCACTAATAACCAGTTCCAGAAATCTGGAAATGAAACTAGCACCAATAAAAAGACTTGACAAAAAAATCTATGAAGAGTCTGCTATGAAACAAATACTACTTCCACAAAGAGTGATATGTAATGGCTCTAAAGTTTTCTTACATTTATGTCATGATATTCAAAAGCATGCAAGATCAACAATCAAACAAAAAAAAAAAGTACAGAAAGAAAACCCAAGAGCTTTCAGGAATTGGACTTTACTTCATTAGGGGTAAATAGCAAATGACCATTGTAAGCATGTTGATCAGTTATGTGGTTGTGAGACATCACTCTAATCAAAGAATGTGACCTAAATTGTATGTATGATTTCCAAAATAACAGGTAACAGTGAGAAAGAGTAGGTTTGAAACAAGAATATAAATTAAAATTTAAAAACACAAAACAAATATATAATGGAAAACAAAACATAAACTGTAGAAAAGCTAACCATTTTTATTTATTTTTTTAATACAAAATAAGCCATGAATAATATGATAATAGGTAGATCATTTAGAACATTTCATCAAAGAAATGGTCAATTGGATAAAACTTCAAGTTGCTTTAAACTGTTTCATATTTATAGATTAGTAAAAATTTCTGGATGAATCTTGGCCAATAGAATAAATGCTACACAAAACAACAGTAATTCTAGGATTAACCATAGAGGAGAGAGAGTAGCATAAAACTTTAGGAGAAAAGCTAGAAACCTACATAAATGAGATATCTTTAATACACAGTTATTATTATTATAGACAACCTACCTAAACATGCAGATACATTCCTGCAATGTAGATTATCAGAGAAATATATATATATATATATATATAATTTTTTTCTCAATGAAAAATTTATAAAATAAATAAGCTTTTGCATATAAACACCCCAAAAGATTGAAAACTGGTAAACACTTATTATTCCAGCTCCAAATGATCATTATGGTATATTAAACAGAACATAGTGATCTTAGTACAAAGTGTATAGTCTTTGTCAACTTTGAGGTATAAGTGTTTGTGTGGTCTCTCAACAGCTTCAGAAACCCATGCCTGAAAGCTATAATAGCACTGAGAGAATGATTAACAAAAATAAAAAGTAAATTATCATTTATTCATGAACAGAATCTTGTATTTAAAACTTCAAAATACATATGATGAACAGTTCTGAAATCATGGGCCACCTTTCGAGTCTATATACATTAACCTAAACATCACTGGGAAATGAGAGATGAATATAAAGCATTATGAAGCATTTTGATGGTACACCTTAATATGAGCTTTTACATCCCCTGGCCAACTAAATTGTTTGAAACAGAAAGAACAACTGAATTTTTTTCGAAATGGCTGATGCTTCAGCTGGTGCCGCTTGAAATTATATTTGTTTGAAAACAGCTGCTGGCAGATTGTACAAAATCGTTCTAAATCTGATGAACATGAAAGTTGGTCTGTAGTTTTAGGTGTTATCCAAACCTTCTGACCTGAAAACAAAAAGCACATATAAATATATATGTGTTTGTATATGAAAATCTTATCATTAATTAATTTGACATCCATATTTTATTAGATATTGTGTTTGTAAATGCAATTTGTTTTCTATCACTAATTTCTCAAAAATGACACATGTACGCTACAATCTGTGTCAATAAAGATTTTCAATTTTGAACAGACTGACACACTACAGCAAAGCATACAAAAATATTGTGCTTCACTAGGATTGTATATGAGCTAATATTTTACTCACTGTCTTTTGAAGTAAACATAAAACAAATCAAGTCACAATAAATTGTTAAAGACTTTTATATACCAGTTTTGTTCTCCATGATCTTACATCTATACAGTGACAAGATTATCAAATTATATTAAACAGCAAAATTTACTCAAATATAACAATAACAACCATGTTTTTATCAAATTTTTTAAACAATATATAAGAAGTGTCAATTAAAAGCAATGACACTAAAATTAATGAAATATTATTACATTTACTAGGCATAGGTTTAAGTTTGAAATATACCTTTACAAGGTTCTCAAAAACAGGGAATCTGCTGTCAATACTTAATCAGGAATAGTGATTAGCATCTAATACTAAAAATGTTTAATAAAAGCTTTTCAATAATAAAGAAAAATTGGTCAACAATACAAACTTGGTTGTGAATTAGTATTTCAGTGATGCTCATCCAGTAAGGATGATTTTCAACTCTTAAAGAGAGTAAAATTACATATGCAACAACATAAAGTTAGTTATAAATGATGAAATGATAATTAAATTGTTCTTTTAGTTAAGATCTTCACGTGGTACTTAAGTAAAACAAAAAGTAGCTTCCACTAATAAAAATATTATGAAGACTAATTATGAATGAGGAGGTGATACTGTAGTGTTGTTCTTCTAGTGTAAATCTTTCCACAATACTGACATGAGAAGTTGCGATGACTTCTATGTTGATAATGCCGATGTGCTGATAAAGACTTTTTTGAGGAATATTGTTTTCCACAGATATTACAAAAAACACTGTCTACTTTTCCTGCTCTTTTATTCTTTGTCTTTTTTCCGTAAAAACCTAAATATAAAGAATAAGATAAGTATAATGTAGAAAGATTAGTGTTTTGATTGTTATGTAATCTTAAACTTAATTTCATAGACATAATTATTAACACACAAAGAATACACAATTGATAAAACTCTTCTTCAAACATTCAAGCTACTTTTTAGGAGTGTAATACATATATATATATAACTGTATTCTCTTCTTCAGCTTTATAAATATAAAACACTATTTCAATTGATCACTACAACTTATCATACAATTATTCACTTCACATATTACAAATAATTTGTTAAAGATGTATATGTACATTATAAGAGCACATTTTAAAAGGATAACACAACATAAAATATAATATTGTTCATTTCATTTGAAGACATTATCAATGTTTTGTTTCTTGTCGAAACAAGGAGTAAACGAACTCCACTTTTTTTCTTCTTTTTATGTGTGTTCCACAAATAATTAAATGGCTTGCATAGTTGGTTTGTACTTGACAATGTATGAAGCACATTCTAATAAATAATGCTGCAATTCTACTCAATTATACAATAAATAAATAATCACTTGTCATGAAAAAAGTATATAATACAAAAATATTTGTCTTAAATTCATTGGACTTTTTTCATACAAAACTTCTTCTCTGTAACAACCTTAATCTCAATAGTTTGGAGTCAGCTGGTAATCTTGTAAGCCAAGAATTTTTACACCCAGGTGGACGGTCCAGATGGCAACCACACAGAATGAGCATGTTCGGTAATGGGGAATCAAACTCATGACCCTCAGATTGTGAGTCGAGCTCCGTAACAATCAGGCCGTGCATTAAAAGAGAACTGTAATATGAGTAATACTTTTCATGTCAGTTCCTATCTGAAGATCTTTCCTGGAGCTAATAAAATGTATATATTTACTTCTTAGAAATACCTATATAAACAATGATAAAAAAGTCAGTCACATACATTACATACAGTAAAACTATATGTGACAACAGATTAGTTGCACGACTCCAATGCATTACTCAGATGTTAGTTTGTATCTTGAAATTAATAATAAAATAGCTCTAAGTTGTTCTTCCATATTTCATATAATAAAAATGTCCTACTTTACATTAGAATGCCTTTACCAGTTTGCTGAAATTCAACTTAAATGATATAAGCAAATCCAAAACACAAGAAGTTTTTTTTTTAAATATCTTTATTGTGGAGAGATCTTACAAATAAGAAAATTTCCAACACAAAAAACAACACATGTCTGTAGGTAATCACAAAACTCCTACCAATGGTTATTAAGTTGATTCTAAAACTAATGATAATAGTGATGTTCTTTTAGTGTAAATCTTCAAACATTACTGAGAAAACAAAATCCCAACAATAATAGTTATTCATGAAGGATAAATTACATGTTTGGCAAAATAAATCTGTGCAGAAATATTTAAATTTTACAGAAATATTAATCATAAAGTCATAGGCCTATATATGAAATCAACATTACCTATCCAAGTTAAAAATATGATCTTCTTCATAATTCTAATCAACACCATTCCTCATATTTTATGCTGAAATAAGATAAAAACTAAGGTAACTTAAAGGTAAGTTAATATTGCAATAAAAAAAGTCACTGTAAATAAAAACAAGGTCCATGAGTTAATAAAACTTTTACATTTATCCACAAGTTTAGGGCAACATTCAATTAAATATAAAATAAAATGAATAATTTATTCAATAAAATTTTAACATAAACATTAGATCTCAAGCTATGATTTACTTCTCACATTAGAATCTTTCCAGGATAACGTTTTTCATTTGAATGAATCATACAATCACACTATGAATGCAATGATGTCTGTTTGCAAGTTGATTAGATTGGTGTCTTAATACAATTAGTAGAGTGGCATGTATTCTAAATGCTCCTTTGCCCCAGTTAACTTGGCACTTATGTATACAGATTACATTCACAAATAGGGCCAATTAGATGGTTTGGGGGGCTATTTGGCCCAGGCCTCAAACTTAAACACTATTACACTTAGCATTACTGTACTTAGTTAAAAACAGATATACAATGTCAAGCAAGGTGATGGTTCATCAATTAATGCTTTATAGAGCAATAAATAAAACAGTTGAAATTTCCATAAAAATCAAATGTTTCAGATTTAACCAATAAAAATTACAAACAAAAATAAGTAAGTTTCAGAATTAACCAACAAAAATTACAAAAAAGGAGTAAGTTTCATAAATAAAACAATAAAAAAAAACTATTTGTGTTTCTTTAGTGAAAATCTTATGAGTGTTGCAACAGAAAATCAAGGCACTTTCATTGATAACTGTGTCTACTAAGAAATACTTCAATAAAATCTACTCTGTGTTGTAATGCTGTGATGATAGCTCATTTTTAAACTAAAATTTCAATAAAATCCTTTTTCTCATGGATTGTGAACAATTATTGAATGTCAAGTATGAGAACATTGTTGTAGAACTGTCAGACAATTCCAGAAAAGGCCTCAGGACCAAGAGCGTTTTGCAGGAACTAGCAATTATATCAGCCCGGAGGGTGGGTATTTCTGCTAGTAATACTAACAGAACTACATAGAATGACAAAAAAAGATGAACCAAATTCAATTGAAGTTATGGGAAGGGGGGGATGTTGTAATACAAGTAACTGCAATGTGAGTAACCAACACTTCCGTAATATTATATAATTCATGGCTAATGCATTACCTGTTTTAATTTATTATTTTACTGATGTTTTACTATGGATATTAGCCAGTTAAAACACCAGCCAACCAAATTGTAAAGGAGACTGATGACTAGGTGGTAAAGAAAATTTCTATGCCTTTTTCAT